CCTCCCTCCCCGCTCCCCACTCCTTCAAGAACCCTTGATAATTTATAAATTATTATTTTGTCATATCTTACACTGTCCGACATCTTCCTTCACCTACTTTTCTGTTGTCCGTCTCCCAGGGAGGAGGTTATATGTAGATCCTTGTAATCGGTTCTCTCTCTCCACCCCACCCTCCCTCCACCCTCCCGGTATCACCATATAAAACTCCTTCTTATACAAATATGAATGTCTCTGGATTTGTTTCTCTAGTCTACCCAGACTAGCACACCTCCCTCCAACACCATGTCGGTTCCTGAGGCACAGGCTGTCTTCCACTTGCCTTGCTTGGTATGTCAGAGGTTAGCTCTTAACTGGTACTTTTGCCTTCGTACTCCTGAGAGCCTTCGTTTTCCATGATTCCAAATTGGCAATAAACCAAATCAAACCAACCCACCATACCCACTGCCATCAAGTTGGTTCTGACTGTAGTGACCCTATAGAAAAGTGTAGAACTGCCCTGTGGGTTTCTGAGACTGTAACTCTCTCCCATCCACTTCTTCGCTTTATAACGCATAGCTCCCTGATCCTCTTCTTTTTTTCCCCTAATCATTTTATTAGGGGCTCATACAACTCTTATCACAATCCATGCATACATCAATTGTGTAAAGCGCATTTGTACATTGCCCTGATCCTCTTCTCTTACATAGCACTTGGCACCATTAGTGTGTGGCACTTGATGCACTGTCACCATTCACAATCATTCATTCTGTGTGTGTCTCCTCGGAGGGTCCCCAAGTCAGGGACTGTGTCTGCCTCCTTAGTGCACCAAGCACCATGCCTAACCCCAAGTGAGACACAAGCACACGCTTTCTGTCTAACCAGCTTGGCTTAACTCTGCCCAAGGCTAGCTGGATGACATTGGGCTGGTTCCTTCTGCCTTCCGCACCTTAGCAGCACCATCTGTAACTAAGCTGGTTTCTAAGGACAGCCTGATGTAGACAAGTATTCTCAAATTAATTTCTTCAGTGACGTCTTTCCCCACTAGAGGGAGATATTACTTCCAGTTCCTCCCCTGGGATGGGGCCTTTTACCTTCCTGCAACACGTTCAATTGAGTGAGGCCAAGGATGGCCAACAGTCAAGGGTTAGCTTTAACTGGTAGCCTGGTCACAGTGCCCAGCAGCTAAATCCTCAGCTACCCACTGAACCTTCAACTCTGCTACTTTCTCGCTGAGGTGCTTTTGCCCTGGCACTCCTGGGAACCTTAGTTTTTATACTTCCAAAAAGGCAATAAACCAACTCCTCCCCCAAACAACACCCCCACCCCCCCACCCCCAGCGCCATCAAGTTGATTCTGAGTCATAAGGGTAGAACTGCCCCTGTGGGTTTCTGAGACTATCTCTTCACAGGAGTGAAAAACCTCTTCGTTCTCTTGAAGAGCAGCTGGTGGTTTTGAATTGCTGACCTTGTGTAATCCACTGAGTCACCATTGACTGGATGTCTGTATGATGGGGTGGTGGCCACTTTCAGAGAGAGCTCAGACTAAAGTTCCCAGAAATGCAAATGCCCATTTACAACCCCATCTGATGAGCAAGCTCCTGAGTGTTGATGAGAATGTCTGCAGAAAGTGTGTCACCCAGTGGGAAATACTGCCCCCCCACCCTCCCGTGCTGGTGCTGCAACCAACCAGCGGAGCTGCAATGGCAGATACCTACACTTTATCCTGGGTTATGGCCTATAGAACAAAAGTTTTTAGCTGCGGGGGGTGGGTGGGTGTTGAGTTTGTTTGTTTTCCTGAAAAGGAGGCAGTAGGCCAAATAACGTTGGAAACCCATGACTGAGAGTAGACCCTTCTGAGAGCTTGGACTGGCCAGAGGTCCAGAGGAAGGACTGCTGCCACGGAGGATAGCTGTCCCATAGGGTTTCTGAAGCTGGGATCTCTGTGAAAGTTGGCCTTGGAAGAGGGAGAACTGAAGAAGAATGGGTGCAGTGGAATGATGGTGCTGGCGAAGAACACTGCAGGTCCCACGGACAAACAACTCTGTCCTGGAAGTACAGCCAGAGTGCTCCTTAGAAGCACGAATGGTGAGGAGGCTTTGTTTCACATACTTTGGACATGTTATCAGGGCAGACCAATCCCTGGAGAAGGGCACCATGCCTGCTAAAGCAGAGGGGTAGCAAAAAGGAAGACACTCAGTGAGAGGGATTGACACAATGGCTGTAACAGTGAGCTCACACCTAACAATTGTGAGGGTGGCTCAGGACTGGGAAGCATGTTGTTCTGTTATGTTTAGGGTTGCTTTGGTGTTTGAAGCAGATTGCCACGTCTTTGTCTGAGGTAGGTGGGTTTGGAACGGCTTACCTCTTGGTTAGCAGCAGAGTGGTTAATCTGTGTGACCAAGGCTCCTTTTAAAGGAAGGTCCACCCCCACTGACATTGAATCTGACTCACAGTGACCTCTAGAGGGTTTCTGTGGCTGTACATCATTACAGGAACAGCTGGTGGATTTGAACCATAGCTCTTGGGACTCAGCAGTCCAATGCTTACCCGACAGCACCATCAAGGCCCCTTTATGGAGTAACAATCAAAGGCAAACTCACTGCCATGAGTCCACTCGGACTCACAGTGACACCACAGGGCAGGGTAGAGCTGTTCTTGTGGGTTTCTGAGACTGCAAATCTTTACGGGAGTGGAAAGCCTCGTCTAGTTCCTGAGAAGCGGCTGGTGGTTCCAACTTGCTGACCTTTCGGTTAGCAGCCTAACGAGTAACCCACTCCGTTACCAGGGCTCTATAAACGGCAGGCGAGTGGGTAGAATTCGGTGCCTGGCCTAGGCAGGCAGCATGATTGGGGGTACTGTATCCAAAATGCAAGACCATAGCTGAGCCCTCAGTTGACAACCAGGCCACTCCCCAATCTTGAGAATGCCGATATATCAAAGTAGGAGACGCTCAAAACAGTAACAAACCTGTTCCTATTGAGTTAAGTCCCCGTCATCACAGAGCAATGGTCCATATCACCGGGTCAAACTGCTTTATTGGGCTTTCTTCCGTGGCGCCGCTTTGTGAGTTTGAACCAAGAACCTTAGTTAGGACTTTTCCTCTGGGTTGTCTGTGAGTTCGACGCTCGGAGATGTAACACGTACTCTGCTTCTTCTCTTCCTCTTCCTCGACTCCCCTGCTAGCCTCCCCTCCATTTTCGCATCCTTCCAAACCCCCGAGGCAGCTAAGCTGGCCTCCTGAGCCTGAACTACAACTCCCAGCAGGCCCGCAGAGTCTCGCGGGCAAGATCTCGCGAGAAGTACCGCATCCACCGGAAGCTTCGTTCCGAAGGCCACCGGCTGCTACCAGAAGGCCAGCGTCCCTTGATCTGCGGCTTAGGCCTTCCTTCTGGTCACCGACTCTGCGTCGCCCGCGCCATGGCTTGGGTCCGGACTGCGCTACAGCGTCTTGGGAGACGTGGGTCGTCGGAGCCTTTTTAGTGCTGGAGCTCGGGCCGCAGGGTCCCCCGCGGTGGCGGCGGCGGAGGAACAGGTGATCGGTCTGGTCGGGGCCCTCCCTGGGTTTCGCCCTTCGCTCAACTCTGGGGCGCGTGGCCCCTCAACCAAGCTCCGGAGCCCCCTCTACTGTCTCACCCCTGCCCCGGCTCAGGGCTCAATCGGGCCATCCTTTGCCCCTAGTACGGTCGCTTCTTTCAGATGTACCCCAGTCCCGCTGCTTCCCCCGCACTCAAAGCCACAGATTGGTTCCGGGGTCCCCGCTCTCCAGCTCCCTCCTCCCTGCCCTCGGGGTGTGGCCTCGGCCTGTGCCAGGTCGGGGTCTAATCGGCCCTAGTCTTTCGGGATGGGCAGTGGGGTTGCGTCAGACCTGGCCTTTCAAATCCTGGTGGCATTGCTTTGTATTTTTTGGAGGAGAGCCCTGCGGGGCGGCAAGCTTTGGGGGGCAGGCGGGGCCCCGAGCCGAGGTGCTAGATGTCTAGGCGGGGAATGTGCCCCGACCCCGGCCCAGCGTTGGATCTTGTTGACGCTCTCTAGCAGGTTTGCCCCTTGAGCCCTGATCAGGCTAGAGGGCCAGTGTGGCAAGTTGAAAAACAAATCCCTTGGCTCTCAGCGGGCCTTGTTTCAACTACTTGTAAAGTGGCCATGAAACTGCCTCCCTTTTAAAAAGGCCTCGGAGAAATCACTTATCCGCCTGGATACTTGGTTTCTCCTTTTAAACCCTGAGTATGTAACAGCTGCTTTTGCGCCAGGTCATTTTGGTGTAAAACTCTGAACGTTTGTTAGCAGTACTGAATGGATTTACCAGGAAAAGGGTACCCCACCTTTTTCTGGTGTCTGGCTCCTGATGTGTACTTTAAAGTGAAATGGGTATGCTATCTGTTTTGCAAGGTTGTGACGCAGAATGACTGGAGTCTGAAGGGCGGTGCACATGCAGGTTGTTTGTTGTTATTAGAAGCTCTGGATGGACGCTTCCTGGGAAGCTTTGCTAACATGCAGCAGCCGGACCATATGGCTCATTAAAACCTGTCTGTCAGCATAATCGTCACATCATTTCACTGTGGGTAAGGTGGCTTTCACCATGTACAGTGTCTTGTCATCTCCTTTGTGTTAAGATCAGCCACAGACGTGGTGAGACTTTGATTTTCATCTTTAGAAACAAACTTTAACCAAAAAAGTTTTTTTTTTTTTTAACTCCCTTGGCATGTGTGTTGTCACCCATTGGCTCTTGTGTTGTGTGTTTCAGCTTTGTAAACAAGCCATCCAAGAAAAAAGCGAAACCAAAAATCCCACCCCAACAAAACAGCATTGGAGCTATTCTTGTGTTCACCATAAGGAAAATATTCTTTGTTATTTTAATAGGTGGCAGGGACTCAGCTCTGGAATTCTATATAGAAAAAGCATCGGGATCCCAGTGTTTTCAATGGCTTCGAGACACCCAGAAGTGCCTGGTAAACTTAGTTCTTTTTGATACACTCCTGCTTGCCCTTTCTGCTTCAAGCTAGACAACAACCACTTGGTCTAAACCATATGTTAATGATTACTCTCTGCCACCAGGGGACTCTAGACTTCACAGGTCATTTCAGTGTTACCTTATTCACTGTCCAGCCAGGATATTTCTTTTAAGGATATAACACATTGATGATTTTTCCACAGGTATCCAATAAGAAGCCAGAATGAGTTATGTCGTCCTTGCATGGCACGACATTTGTGCCAAAATGATTACATTCAGCATGATTTTGATTACATTCAAAATGATTACATTCAGGGTGGGGGTGGGATAGAGGGCCAGCTGGGCAGAAAGGCCTCGCCTGGGTTAATGGTGAATTGAACTTTGTCCCAAAATGCTCTCAGCAGCCACATTTTAGGTGTCTGGGGCTGCACAGGGCAGTCATTCCTGGGCTGGTGAAGTCATTGGTTTCTCCTTGCACTGTCTTCCGGGGGAAGGCAGATGCTTTTGACTGCAATCTGAATCACTCGGTTTCTGATTCTGAGTAAAGTTGAGCTGCTAGTACATAACTCTCGGGTTTGCTATGAAGAGTGAGCATAAAAGATGTGAAACTTTGAGTTACGGATGAGTGATGACTGCATTGCACTACCAGAAATGCTTGGCTTCTCTTATTGAGATTTATTTCCTAAGAAACATTCGCTAAATTTATTGTTATTACTAGGAAGACTGTTGGGATAGGAGGAGCCCTGGTGGCGTAGTGGTTAAGTGGTTGGCTGCTAACCCAAAGGCTGGCGGTTTGAACACACCAGCCTCGCCGTGGGGAGAGGAGGATAGGGAGGTGTGCTTACAGCCTTGGAAACCTTGTGTAGTAGTACTGTGTTTTTTGGGTTGGCATAAGTTGGCAACCGCCAGAGGGCCGTGGAGTATTGGGATGGCTAATGGTTATTGGATGTCTCGAAGATGTTTGTGTACATTTCTTCTTCCAAATTAGTGGATGGAGAGGTGGATTAATAGGAATCTCTCTTCATCCCCTAAGACGGATCCATCTCTCACATCATCAGCTTGCCTTCTAGTGTGCCTTTCATTGTTGCTATGTTGACCACAAAGCCCCTGTAACCTTGCCAGGGCGGTGCTCAGCTAGTGGCTTGCACTGTCACTGTCATATAGGGCACGTGGGTCCTTGCCTGTAGGCTGGCCTTAGATCTGCCTTCCAGTCCCTGCCCCACACCTGCTAGCTGGGTGAGTCCCTTAAGCCCTGCCTCAGTTTCCTAAGCTGGCAAATGGGAAGAAGCTGTGCATAGTGAGAACTAGATATGAGATGCAAAGGTCTTGACACAGAGGAGCACTCAGTAATGACTGTGGGCGCAGTAATGATTGCATGTTCTGTTAAGGCTCACCCTTTGGGTACACCATTCATCTGAGGACATTTTCAGCCTGCCGATCAGTAACCTACCTGGCGGCTACTAATCTGCTTTTTTAGGTCTCTCTGGATTTGTTAGTAATTATTTGAAAGAGTCAGAGTACTGGCACTGCCTGGTAACCTTGGCTCCTTGCCCAGCAGGCAGATAAGCGCAGAGCCCTTGGCAGTTCTTTGGGACTTACTGCCAGACAGGGTGGTGCCTTGGAGAAGGTGCTTACGGAATTGTAGCAACAGGCAAATGTCAAGGGTGACATTTTCATCCATGACAGGGTCTGGACGAGGATGGCCGCAGGGTGAAGGGGAGAATGTGAAGTGGGCGACACGGAGGAAGGGGGGTGGTTCCAGTACCTTCCTGTGAGTGGGTCAGCCATTCCAGATGAACTGGCTCCTAACAAGAGTGTCTTCAGAGCACCCTCTCGGAAATTGCTTAGCCTGCCCTGTTGCTTAGCCTGTCTCTGTTCTTAGCTCTTGAGCCTAGTGGGCCTCTAGGCAAGATGTCCCTGCCCATCGGGATGTACCGCCGGGCATTCAGCTATGACGATGCCCTCGAGGACCCTACACCCATGACTCCTCCTCCATCAGACATGGGCAGCATCCCCTGGAAGCCAGTGATTCCAGAGCGCAAGTATCAGCACCTCGCCAAGGTACCTGACCTCTCTGACCTCTGCCTTGGGCATGCCCTTCCTCTTCCCCCCCCTGCCCCAAAGCCCTCAGTGGCTCCCTGGGACCTGGGCAGCAGCTTCTCACTCCCTGTGTCCGCGTTCTGTTGTGAAAGTTGGTGTGCCATTTCTCTTTTTAACTCAGAGCTGGAATGGGCTCTTCCATGGCTCCCCAACTCCCACCGTGTCAAATCCACGCTCGAGCCAGGCTCATAAGTTCTGCATGGCCCAAACCCATGCAGCCTCTCCTCAGCCCCATCCCAGTGATCCAGCCCTGCCGTGTACCTCAGCATTCTGGGATGCACCACGGGGTCTTCTCTTCTCCAGGCCCTTGTTTCGCTCTGTGCCCGTTGCCTGGGACTTTCAGCATCCCCATCCTGCTCCTTCACGTCGTCCCTTCCTCTCCATCTGCCTGGCAACGTGCTTGCCTATTCACTCTTGGCACAGGCATCTCTCTGTAGAGAGTCTCCCTTGGTTGTCTCCATCCTCCCTCACCGCCTCTCCTCTGCATGCTCCCCTCTCCTGTAGATCCTGCTCTATCCCTGCGTACTCAGCTGTTCTCTGTGGGCTTCTGGAGCACAGGGGCCAGTCTAATGTAGTTTGTTTTTTTTAATCATTTTATTGGGGGCTCTTACAGCTCTTACCACAATCCATACATCCATCCATGTGTCAAGCACATTTGTACATATATTACCATCATCATTTTCAAAACATTTTATTTGAGCCCTTGGGATCAGCTCCTCCTTTTATCCTCCCCCCATGAACCCTTGATAATTTATAAATTATTTGTTTTCATATCTTACACCGACCGCTGTCTCCCTTCACCCACTTTTTGTTATTCGTCCCCCTGGTGGTGCGGGGCATGTTTATATATCGATCACTGTGATTGTTTTCCCCTTTCTACCCCCACCCTCCTGGTATCGCTACTCTCATTATTGGTCCTGAGGGGTTTATTTGTCCTGGGTTCCCTGTGTTGTGAGCTCTTATCTGTACCAGTGTATGTGTTCTGGTTTAGCCAGATATGTAAGGTAGAATTGAGGTCATGATAGTGGGGGGAGGCAAATTTAGTTTTTATTTGCAGCATCTAACACAGGCCTGGCATAAACCAGATTGCAAAATGATTAGGGTAAATGATTGGCTATTTCCCAAACACCTGTGCTCCTCCTGAGGCTGTTCCCCACCCCCACACCTCCCTAACTGCCCCTGAACCTGCCCTTTTTGTGCAAAGGTTTGGGTTGGGTTCCTAGCTTCCTACGTACTTGTTGCAGTCTGAGCTGTCTAACTGGGAGGACGCTATCTCTCTCACCGCTGACTCTCCAGCCACCCCAAGCATACAAGAAAGGCTGTCCTCTTGCCAAGTTCAGATAAGGCTACTTTACCTGCTGCTATGGTTTCGATGAACTTTGAGCTGGGTTTTAGGGTAGCTGCACTAGATCCTTCCTTTCTCATGATCCTCCCCGTCCCTCTTAGAGTAGGGAGCCCTGTTCTGGGAGCATGGCTGGTCGCTCGTGGGGAAAAACCATACAGTCTAAAAGTACAAGAAGTATGAGGAAGAGAGGACACAGCAAACCTGCTGTGGTGCCAAACTGGGGGTTCCTAGGGACGAGAGCCGCAAACCAGTGTGGCTCCAACCCCCCGCCCCCAGGATGGATTCCCTCACAAGGCAGAGAATGGACTTCCAGTGTGCTGCCGCCTGGCTCATCCTCAGGTAGCCACCAGCCCGCCTCCAAGTGAAGAAACTCATGGGCTCCGGTGGATGTGATGGAGCAGGGGCACACCTGGCCAGTCTCAGTCCAGTTCTGACCGGGGGATTCATTACAAATATTCCCTGTCTTCTCATGCCTCTGGAGAACTAGAAGAGAGGGCAAGCCTCGGCCTCTCCTCCCCGCCCCCTGGGTGGCCTATGTGCGGTGTCAGGTGGCGGCTCTCAGCGCTTTCACTTGAGAGAGAAGGCGCTCACTAGACAAATCTGAGCCCCGCCCCCGACAGAAAAAGAAACACTCAGGTGAGGCCAGCAGGCTCTGTTTAAGCAGCCCTCCCGGAGATTCCTTCCGATGCCTGTCCGAGTTTGTGAAGCACTGAGTAGCAGATGCTTACATGCTTGGCTTGCCAACCCAAGGCCCGTGGCTCGAGGCCACCGGCTGTCCCGTGGAGAAGGATGTGGCAGTCTGCTTCTGTAAAGGTGTCCAGCCCTGGAAACCCTATCCTGTTGTTCTGAAGCGGGGGCCAGTGTCCTTTGCAAAATATGGGTAAATCGCCTACCTAACTGGGTAGGGAGGACCAACCCCCTTTGAGTGTTCCTCATTTGGCAGGTGAAAGAGGGTGTGAGGTGGTAATTTCCTTCCCTGCTCAAGTGCCTCCTTCACCTCTCTCGGACAGGTGGAGGAAGGAGAGGCCAGTGTACCCTCTCCTGCCATGACCGTGTCATCGGCCACAGACAGCACGGACAAGGTCCCCGTGGTGAAGGCTAAAGCCACCCACATCATCATGAATTCTCTGATCACAAGTAAGCACCCTTCACTTTCTGAATGGAGTGAGGTTGGGGCGGGGACAGGTGGCAGAGGGCATTCTGCCCACATGCCCCCTTCATCCTCAGTCCTAGCTGGGCCTGTCAAACTACTCTCCGTCCAGTTAGCTCCCGAGCCCCCTCAGTGTCCATTTGCTACACATAAAACCTCTGAGGTAGCTTTGTTGACACCATCTTGTTTCCCCACATCTCTCAGCATCTCCAGGCAACTCCCTTGACCACTGCCACATTCCCACTTTATAAAGTGGGGGCTCCCAGCAGCACCTCGCTGGCAGCTCGCATTGGAACCCTGGGTCAGGCGTCTGGCTGGGGCTGCAGCTGGCGCGCTGCTGCAGAAGGTGACACGCCTTCTTTGGCGCATGCTTGCAAGACAACGCAAACTTGGTCCTCCAGGAAGAGGGCCACGCTGGGGGTGCTGCGCACCTTCAGCCTCAAGACTGTGAGCGTGTGGGCTTGCGGGGACGGCGCCGTGGTTGCTGTGCAGTGTGTAATGAGCAGCTCGTAGCCCTGTGTGTCAGCAGTGCCTCCGTCGGGCAGTCGCTCTGAGAGGCTCACTGGCGAAGTTGGAAGCCTGGGTCGGTTTTTCCTGGTTCCTTGAGAATGCATCCGTAAGCCAGCCGTCCAGACCTTGACTTCTCTTGTGAACACTTAAATGCACCATTTGAAGCAGCAACTGCTAGTTGTGTGCCTCTTGCAAGCTTAACAGTGGCAGGGTGAGAAAGCCGCTGTTCTTTTGAGCACAGGAGAAATCCTTCATCAAAAGTGATTTGCCAGCAGCCCCGAGCCCTGCAAACATGCCAGCCACTCAGCTTCTTCCTGGGCTCATTCTGCCCTATGGCGGCCTTTTTAAAAAAATCATTTTATTGGGGGCTCTTATAACAATCCACACAGCAATTGTATCAAACATGTTTGTACATGTTACCATCATAATTTTCAAAACATTTTCTTTCTGTTTGAGCCTGTGGTATCAGCTCCTCGTTTTCCTCCTCCCTCCCCACCCTCATGACCCCTTGATAACTTATAAATTATTGTTTTCATATCTTACACCGATCGCTAGCTCCCTTCCTCCACGTTTCTGTTGTCCATCCCCCCACCCCAGGGGTAGAAGGTGGTGGTGGTGCGATTGGGTCCCCGTTCAGAGGCCCACTGTGGTTACAGCCACACTTTGATGTTGTTATTGCCTTTACATTTTAAAAAAAGAGCTGCATATTGGTATTGGTGTACCAATATTCATCAAATTCCTTTCTACCTCCCGGACTCTCAGTGACAGTTTGGTCAGACTGGAGAGTATCCCATATGGCTTTCTTCCTTAGCTTCTAATTCTAATGGAAATTCTTCCTGAGAAGGGGCTCGTGAAATGTTCCAGGACTTCTGGTCCGCAGCAGTGACTTTGTGTACACGGCAGTGTGGCACGTGGGGTGTGTCCCGAGTGGGCACTCTGCCCGGTTCTAACGGGCTTGTTGGCGATGAGAAGTCAGGCTGGACGAACCGGAGGGGAGAGTGTGCTGCGCCAGGGCCGTGAGAGGCAGCGCGAGCTGGAGGCAGTGCTGGCTCAGTTGAGCATGGCTAGTACAGGGGAGGCTCCTTGGCTTGACTCTGATTGGTTCACGGTGCCGTCCATCCCGAGTGGGCCTGTGTCCCTTTGGCACAGGCTTATCTGTGTGTGAGGAGGGTGGTGAAACTCTCTGGAAACTTTGCCCCTTGGAGGACTTTGATGGCTTCGGCACGCCAGCTGCCTTCCTAAATGCAAAGGCAGTGCCACGTGCCTCAAGGAGAGGCTGGCAGGGATCGTGCAGCTGTCCTCAGGAGTAGCCTCTTCCTTAGCGTGCTGAGACAGAAGGCTCCCGTCTCGTTGGAGAACCTGTGTCGGGGTCAGAGTTCGGCTGGAGGAAGGCTCTCAGGAACCCGTCTGCTCCAGGGCTGGTCAGAATGGTCTCTTTCTTCCAGGAGAATATCGGATGTGTGTGCGTGTCCTCCCCTTTCTGACGGAGCGGGGAACAGGCATGACTGTCGTGTCGTCTACTCTGTTTCCAGAACAGACCCAGGAGAGCATTCAGCGCTTTGAGCAACAAGCAGGGCTGAGAGATGCTGGCTACACACCCCACAAGGGCCTCACCACCGAGGAGACCAAGTACCTGCGGGTGGCAGAGGCGCTCCACGTAAGCTTGTTCCTGCACATTGACAGCTTGAGGTGTGACTGTGGTTCAGAAGTTATCATTTTAGCCAGCGGGGGGCTGTGGGAAGTGGCGAGTTGGGTGAGGAATTTAGAATAGGTTTAGTCTCACCTGTTGTGAAGAAGGCTTGGAGTGGGGCCCTGTCTGACCTTCTGGCTTCCCTGTTGCCACGAGGTCAGACAATGCCTCCATCTCACCGCACCATACTCTGTTCCTGGCTGGGCCCAGCTCTCTGTAGCAGTGGCCACCCAGAACTCAGCACCCACCACTCAGTGGGGTTTTATCAGGGAAGCCAGGAGCAGTAAACATTAAGGACAGTCCCTGGTCCCCAGCAGTGCCTCTCAGAGAGTAACCAAGTCCTTTTCTGGTCCTCAGCCCTCAGGCACCTGGCCCCTTGGTCTCTGCAGCTCAGAAAACCCACCTCTCGTGCTCTCCCACAGTCCCCTAACCTTAGTGCTGCTTGTTGGCTCAGTCCCATGATCCCTCTGCAGCCCCTCGCGCCTGTGGTCTCGGCATCTGCCACTTCAGACAGCGATCTCAGACGAACTCCGCTCCTGGCTCTTCCTATGGCCTGGGGTTGGTTTCGCTGGGCTCTTAGACATATAGAGATGGCTGTGATGGAACACTGGCTTTCCAGATCCCCTCTGTTAGAAGTTAGGGAATCTAGTCCTCGTCATATTTCCCTCAGGGCTAATTTCCCACAAGCAACCCTAAGGGGCAGGGTGGAACTGACCCGTGGGTTTACGAGGCTGTACCTGTTCCTGGAGGTAGAACATTGCCTCTTTCTCCCACGGGGTTTTGAGCTGCGGACCTTGTGGTTAGAAGCTCAACTCATAGCCAGTGTGTCACCCGGGCTCCTTTCATCAGACCATGTGCCTCGGGAGGGATTTAAGACACACCTACTAAGGTGGAGACTTAGTCCCACCTTCATCCTACCAGCATATTAAGTCTGCTAGCATAACAGACTTATGCTCCGCCCCCCTCTCCCTCCCCATGGAATTATAGCCATAGGCCTCTCGCTGCCACCGCATCCATGCTGATGCATAGTAACCCCTGTGGGTTTCCAAGACAGTAAGTGTTCCTGGGAGTGGAAAGCCCAGTCTGTCTTCCGTGGAGCTTGCTGGCCATTCTGATCGCAGCCAACATGTAGCTTCTACACTACCAGGGCTCCTCGCTGTAGCCCAGAGGCTAGACTTGTAATAAGTCCTATAAAGAATCCAAGTAGAAAGGCTGTATCAAGTGACAGCACCTCACCAATTGTGGCACTTCCCAGCCACAGGCTCTGGAAGGCTTGCCCTGGAGTTCTGCTTCACCGGTCAGTAGGGGCAGCTTACTTGATCGAATGAGAGTTTGAGGTCACATATGTGATATGTAGGACTACTTCCCGAACCCTAAAGTAGATGTGGGTGACTGACTATGTCCCAGTGGTCAACTTTGAGGGGGAGAGAGCCGAAAGTCTCAACAGACATAAAGCAGGTTCTGCCGGGAAGGAACAGCGTGCTCTCTGTGTGTATTTAAAGCGAACATGAAATTACAATGGTTTTAATTTCTAAAATTGGAATGAAAAATGACGAGTTAATGCTGACCAAATATTTGAATTGATAAAACAGCTTCAGGTGCATTTCTTTCAGGGAATACCACTTACTGAATAGCAAGTGCTTCACAATTCACAGAGTGCTTGCATTCACTTAATGTTTGCATTAACCCTTTGAGGCGAGGCACTTTGTAAGTGGAGAGCATGAAACCCAAGGCCACGTAGGTAACCAGTCACAATGTCTGGACTCACAAGTGTCCCGATGCTCTGCTTTGCGCCCCACCCCCCACCCCCAACTCTAAAGTTGTTAGAGGATCTTACAGGCGTCAGAGGGTGCTCACAAGGAGGGCAGAGGCAGATGGTGAAGGGTCACACATACCAGCAGGAAGCTAGGCCTGCTTTGTGGGGTCTGGGGAGTGTCACGCTGGGGGAGGCGTGCCTCTGGGGTGGTAAGGGCCCTGTGGGCTTGAGAAGAGCACAGTGGCAGGAGATGGTCGTGCGGTGCACAACGTGTGGGGCGAAGCTGCGACCCAGGCACTCTGCACTGTATAAGGAGCGTCTGTGATGATTCTGTACACAGGGAGCTGAAAACCCTTCGCTGTGGGGAGGGGGTGGTGGGCAGGGATAGGCTAGCTCCCCGAGAAGACAGCCTCCTGCGACAAGGCACTTCTAGGGTTGGACACAGAGAACTCTGCAGTGTGGGAGTTGGGATCCAGGGAGGAGTTCCTCCGGTTTCACGGTCAGAGTGACTGATTGACTCACTCTCTGAGGCCTGGCAGAGCGGGAGCATGGCAGACGTGCTTGACGTGAGTCACTAACTCCATCGTGTGACAACTTGTTGCTCCGTTGACGTGTCGGGTGGAGAAGCTCACACTGCTCCTTGGCTTGGCTGAGGCGCTCTATAGAAGCAGTGGGGTGGACACAGCCCTCTGGCCCCAGAGCACCTTGAGCTGGAGTGGAGCAGTGTCCCTGCCCTCGAGACTGCCCCGCTCAGGGGAAGGCGCCGGATGGACTGTGAGGTGGAGGGAAAGGGGCAGTCTCTCCGGTAGGAGCACGTAATTGGAGAAGAAAGACAAGCGGGCTCCCACAGGGCCGAGGGAGGGACAGAGGGACTGGGAATTGCACATGGTAGGAGAGCAGAGGTCAAGGCCCCACGAAAAACCACCCACAAGGGTGGAGTTCTGAGCTTCCACGCCCTGGCTGTGTGAGTGAATGTGGGAAAGTCACCTTTTGTGAAAGTACGAGCTTTTGCGTAGTTTCAGGACAGCTGTTTGAGGTGTGTCGTAGCGTGCACACACGTTTGACGGTGGAGACAACGAAAGATTTCTGCTGCTTTGGAGTCCAAAGGGACTCCGCCTGGGGACGTCTGTCCTTTGTCTGGAGTGAGCCTGTGAGCCAGACTGTTGATGCCCACGCTTAGCTCTTCCGTAGCTCTCTGATGTTCACACGCTCTCCCCCTCCTCACCCGTGCCGACAGACACTAAAGCTGCAGAGCGGAGAGAACACAAAGGAAGAGAAGCAGCCTGCGTCCACCCAGTCCACCCCCAGCAGCACCCCGCACTCTTCCCCCAAGCAGAAATCCAGGTGAGCCCCCCTCAAGCCCGCCACAGCCTGGGAGGGGTCGGGGTGGGAGTGGGGTGGCGTCAGGGCAGCCAGCTGCTTGGGAAGCGGGACTGGACCTGTGGTTTTGAGAGAGAAGGGACTCTGGCATGAGACTTTTCTGGAGGCCCAGGAAGAGATGTACAGGGATGTTTGTTCTCTTCTCTCTTTCAGGGGCTGGTTCACTTCTGGTCCTCCTACCACCTTTCCCGGTCCCAATTCTAGCATCATGGATTCTGGAAGTGGGGATAGGGACAGGAACCCATTGGATAAATGGAGCTTCTTTGGGCCGAGACCCCTCCAGAAATCTGATTCGGGTGAGGCAGCTCCTTCCCGAGAGAAAGCACAGCCCAGGCAGCTTGCCGTGTTCTCTTTGGGGCCCGTCTACCAATTCCGAAATTTGTTCTCTGCTCTACTTCTGTAGGAGGACTTGCCACTCAGACCTACCGCGGAGCTCAGAAGCCCTCTCCAATGGAACTGATCCGCGTGCAGGCCACCCGCATGGCTGAGGACCCAGCGGCCTTCAGGCCTCCCACCATGGATGCCCCAGAGATCGACAAGACGAAGCCAGTTCCCCGGACCCACAATCTCAAACCTCGTGACCTGAATGTGCTCACTCCCACTGGGTTCTAGTGCGCTTTCTGTCCTAGGGACTCTGGATCGAGTCTGCCAGGCCCCCCTTTACCTGGCTCTGACATAGGAAAGGTATATTTTTAAAAAACCAGGCTAGAGCTAGAGAAATCATTGGCTTTGGAGAAACATGTGCACATTTCCACCTTACTGTGTGGAAGAAGCCCTTTTCTACCGCTTTAACACAGTTCAGTCATCTCAGCAGAGCTCTGTGGGAGGCCTCGTGGCCTGTTTTTGTATCACATCCTCTAGACAAGAGCTTTGATCATGACTTCCTAAGTAAATGATTCTGCTGTTTCCAAACCCAGGTTTCCTGATTCCTTGACCACTTTCAAGGTGAGCACTGGCAAATCTTGGAGTGGGCGTGCTCACTGACCAGTTCCAACCACTTGGGCCCTTCTGAACTCCAGACCCTGGGCTGGGACTCTGTGCTAGCCTGGTTGCTTAGGAGGA